CCACCTCAGCCTCACCACTGCTGCCCCCTGACCGACCTCCCAACTCTGCAGCGAGCATGTTATCTATACCTGCCCCTATCTACCATTCGGCATGGCCAGACATCACTTCAGCATACAGCATAACTGAACAACGTCATAATAGCAGAAACCATATGCAGTGTCTGCATTTACCTGAGAATTCTTCATAAACAATATAGAATAGCCAAGATGATACAGTGGGGCTGCGGACACCTGGAAGTAGTCTCAAGAAGATCAGTTGGCAGCTTCTAGGTGGAGGCTGGGTCAGTTGTTAAGCAGGAGCCCCGCAATGGGATCGGATTAATTCGCAACTCCAAGGGATACTGGGTGCTCCAGAGTAGAAGAGAATATTAAACCACCAGTACCTGGCCCAGCTATCGGCTGCGGCGCTTCCCGTATACGCGCCGCGCCATTTGGGCTTCGGCCTGCCGGAGCGCATTGGCTGGAGGCCGCAGGCAAAACGAAAAAGAAAATTGCGAAGGCGGTTCGGCAGGACTTGGCGTGCAGCGTGCTGGGAGGCTCGAATTCAATAGTTGAGCGAGGTACTGGTGAGGTACTGGTGGTTTAATGACTCTATCCTCAACATCGACCTGTATTGTTGTATTGAAGGGACGCTGGACCCGGTTTCCAGCCGGTGTCGCTCCCTACCAATAGACGGAGCAGCCCAACAGCCAAGTCCTCAATTGCGGTGGTTCTCTTACCACTGTCGGGATAGTGACCTTACGAAAGGGCTCTTGAAAAAAAAAAAAAAACAAGTCCCTGTTAGAATGACCTCCGTTGAACTGGCTACCAACGGAAAGCAGGAGGGTAGGGGCAAGTATTTTTCGTTTTGAAAGGTAAAAGCAACCGGTAGATGTGCACCGTGGGATGCATCTCCAACGTCGCTCCTAGTCACACACGTTGTTGAACTGACTCAGTAGTGCATGTGGGACATAGTGAGTGAATACACACACAACATTGCATTGTCACATGCAAATGAACCAATTTCAGTGCTGGCCATAAAGCCTAATCAAAAGAACTTCAAACATGACATGAACCAGAGACGTTCAACAAGTCAACTAATCGAGAAGCCCACGCATAGCATCAGACAAAACACAGGTGCAATAGAGGAAGAGAAAGCGTACAAATGGAAAAGCTTAGAAGGGGGACAAGGAAGAGGGAAAGATGAAGGGAAATGACACATCAAGGTATTTCAGGCGCGACATGACGGGCTCTTAAGAATAACAGTAAACTCCAGCCCGTCGAGCTCAACTCTCAGGTAGGCGTTGTGCCCATAACGTCAAATGCATAGCCGAGCTTTTCCAATGGCGACCCTATATGTTTCATCCGGAGTCATATCCGGCATCATCAGAGGTCTACGCCATGCAATCCAGTGCCTGTTGACGTACCAGCTCCTCTATTTAAGACTAAGACAAAGACAAACACTCACACCATCAGAAAGGACGACACTAGAAGGGTCCGGTACCGAGTTCCAAAAAATGCCAAGGAGATAACCAGAGACTCAACAAGCAAGGGACCAAGAATTAGACCACATGAGATAGAGGCAAGAAATGCTGACCAGCGGTC